AATAGCTGGAAATTCCTCAGAAAAATTCCTGGATTTTCAACATGCTCTGAAGCGATTTCTTATCACGGGAAGTATCTTCTTTACAGAGGAAACTGAATTTTTAAATACTCTTAAAGCAGAATTCGTATTGGAATTGCTATTTTGAGTTAGTGTAATTATAATACAAATAATATCAATAGTAGGTACTGTGTTTACATTAATTCTCAATCTACCACAAAATTAATTATTGAAACCCCTTTACATTGAACCTCTTAAGTTTTCTGATTGGGACATACAGCTCAAATTGCCTTTTCTCGCTTTCAAAGCCGAGTACCGTAAAGTGATTCGTTAGTGAAATTTGTAAACGTTCAAAGGAAGAGTTGTATAGAACGACGAAATGTCTACATGTTTTAGAGGAAATTATCACAACATCAAGAACGTTGAATACACACAGCCCTTCTTTCGGGTTTTAATCAATACAAGAGCATTACTTTTTTCAATTTCATACATATTAAACATTTTATTTTAAATGTTTTTTCGAGCAGATGAAACAGTTAATTTTTTATTTGACTGGTTTGAATTTCTTTGAAATGTCGAAATTATGAGTTAGGAATGTTACGAGTTAATAAAAATTCAACGCAGTTTGGAGTTGATTCATTGGTTGTTCAAGAACTCTTCATAATTTACTGGTCTGTTATTATAAATCTAGAATAATAATATAGAAAATAATTGAAGAAAATTTTCCGTTTATTTTCGTAAGTGCTTTGAAAGAAAATCCCTACTTTTCGGAATCTTTACATTATTGAAAGCACTTTTTTAAAGTCTGGCTTAGAATAGCATTGAAAAAACTTCCGGTGAATTTGGAAAAAAACCGTAACTGAAGTTGAGAAAATCTCTTACAGACTTAGTAATTTTCGGCAGGCCATAAATCGGTGAGGTGGTAAAAAGCGATTTTGATCCTTTTTGAAAAATATCGTGTTGAGCCCATATGTAAATTCCCGGAACATAAATCAAGTTTATTCGAATCTCCTTGTGAAGGGAGATTGTGTAAAGTGTCTTTTTTCTCACCGTCCGTCCAGATCTTCGTCTGGGAAAATATTGTGTTCCGGAAATAATTCAAATTAGATTTATGGAAATGCTTTATAAATTTTTACGCGAATATGCCAAAAGCTGTTTATAGGGGAATTGCGTTTTGCAGGGTCGTAATTGGTATGCTTCACATATACTTCCTAATAAATATGCAGAGCTTGCGTATGGGGGTGTCTCTGACTCCACCACCTGCTTTCTATATTTTGCAAGTTTGGATCAGTTGACTAACTCCATTTACAGAATAAACACGCCGGTCATATGCAATCATCTGATGGATGACATATTTCATTGCATCCATTAGCATAATCGCAGTGACTTTTTCAATAAACATGAAAAGATGAAATCAGTGTGGACAAGGACTGATTAGATAAATCTGACGTTTTTCGAACAGAGAGATTTGTGTTTACTGATTTAATAAAACTTAATGTTATTAGAGCAGGGTAGTAGTTGTAATTATAATGATAATAACTATTAATGGCTGTTCATTGTTATATTGTTGTACCAGATTTGTAAGAGATACAGTGCAGTTGCAATATAGGCTAATTGGAAAGGACTGAAACAGCAATTGAATTTGCTTAATTATTTATTATAACTTTAAGTTTAGTTTGATTAAAACAATTATTTCCAACAATACGGATTAGGGATTTAATAAGATTTGTCTTGTTTTGTTGGTGCTTAAATTGAATTTTTGCTAATTAAACACAATGTTTCCCATAAAATATTATTGTTGGAGTTAATAAATTCGTATTAATGTCATTGAAATTCATACCAAATAATGAATAAACACGTGTGTATTGAAATTACGTGAAGGCTAAGCTAAATTTCTATTTAGGTATGATGTTTGAAATGCTGTTTATGATTTTGTATAATTAAAAGAAAAATCAGAAAAAAAGATTTTTTTTGTTGAACAATATGGTGAATTGTCTTTGTATACAAGCATGATTTTAAGCTTTAGTTTTATTACTAAATATGCAAATCTTGCTGATGCAATTTCAAGTAAACACTAAACCAGTGGCGCAGCGAGAAGGGGGTTTAGGTAGGTGAATCGAATTTTGTAACTTCAGAAGGTTTACAACTTATTCTTTTTTTATTTTAAAAATTTCGACAAAATTGTACCTCAAATATAATGTTTGTATGCTACACATGTAAGATGTTCTGAGAAATCGATTGGCGGTGAAAAAACTGAAATTCTTGATCGTTTAGAAGTTATAGTTGATTTAATATTTTGAATATTTTTTACTTTATCAGCAATTTTCTCGATAACTATTTAACGTAGGAGAATAATATTTTTTCTCTGTGATAAAAATTAAATTTGCTTTTCAATGGTATCAAACAAAAAGGACTAGCATCAATAATTCCGAAATTATTAATAATAAACCGCTCCGGGTAAAATCGAAAAAATTAAAAACGTCAAAATTATTGCGCTCTTGGATGTCGAGAGATTTATAAAAGTACAGAAACGTTGTGAAAATGTAAAAAATATTTTTTTTCTAATTTGCGTTTATAATACGTTTATTAACGTCTCCAGTAGGAGTCGTTTAGGGCTATCTATAAAAGCACACTGTACTTTAATGAATTTAGGGTTATTTAGTTTTTGGATGCCGCTTCTGACTTGTCACGTAACAAATTTTGCGTTGTTGCTTCGGCAATTTGGCGAATTTCGGGCGGAATGCAAACTAAATTCTGTTTCTCATATTTTATTTATTATTATTGTGTCGTAACACTAATAATTAATAATTTGTAAATTTTATTTTTAATAACAGACGGCAGAAATGACTCAAAAAACCCGTGGGCGCCGAGTGTTACCAACCGATACCAACTAACACAAAAATTCTCTAGGCGACAAATATATAAATTTTTTAATTAAAATAAGAAAAAAGGGGGCGCAAATTAGAAAAAATAGCATAAAATACTCGTTTTATAATGGCATTGGCGCACTCATCCCATAGAAAACTCGCCTACGGCTCGTTTTCTAACTTGGGATTCGTGCGCCAACTCAACCCTTATAAAACTTGTTCTTTAATATACTATTTAAATTTTTTTGTGTAAGTCGTCTGTATGAATATATTGAATTAAAACATGAAGACTATTGGCGCGAACTTTAAAACGTGTGCACATGTTTAAAAATAATAAATATAATAAGAGAGAGAGAGCGCATACGAGCAAATAAGAACGCAAAGCATAATAAGAAAAAGAAAAAGCATAAGATTAAATAAGTGAACAAAGCATAAGTAAGGGAAAACACATGAAAAAACATAAGAGCTTTTTTCTATTTCGGTGTCACAATGAGCATTTTGTGCAACTGTTTTCAGTTGTGTACACAAAATGCCCTTGGTGGCACTGTTTTTAGAAACATTTTATGCTGCATTTTTACTATCACTGACATACTGTGCAATATCGTCTTTTTTGAGATGACGTCCCTGAAATTTTTTACATAGGTAAACCCCCTAAACTCTATCTCTAGCTGCGCCACTGCACTAAACACATAAACGAGTTTTGAGAAAATTTTGGGATTATTCAAATCCCTGTCGGTTGCCTAAAATAACGAGGAAAAGGTTATTTTATTTCAACCCTCGGGCCTTTCCCAATATTAGGGTTGTTTACTTTTGTTCTGCATTACAATGTATTCATATGTTGCTTTTAGTAAATTGTTATTACATTTGCAAACTTGATGTTCATGTTTATTTATTTTAACAATACCATAATTTTTATTACTTTAAATATTATTCATTTCATTTTCCATGCTTTATAAGTTGACTAATTTATTAGAGAACAATATGTTTTGACAAAATCAGACAAATATGTTAGTTGAAACCACAATATTTAATTCTATTAATTAATTACCAACAGGAGTTAAATTTTGTGGTATTTTTAACATTATAAATTGTCAGAAAATACAGCATTTTTATTGCTAATAAGGTGGATACGTACCTACCTTGTTTTATCGTTTTCCAAGAACTTTTCAACATATAGAAGTGGCTATAACTAATTAATGTTAAGCAGTGAAGAAAAACACTAAATAAATTTTACTTGAGTAAAGCCGCAATATTTCTTCGTCATTTTGTTTTAATGAACTCACAAAATAATCAACTTTACGTGCACATTAAATGAAAGCTCAAATGAGTTTTGGAGTAATTATAGTATTTAAAGGAAGTTAAAGTTCATTATTATTTCTTTTCTAATTAAATTTAACGTTGTAATTTTCTATGAAGAAAATTACAGTGAGATCAATATCGACCCAATCTAACTTGCATATGTTTATTTAAGTACGAGAATTTTAATTTGAACAAGTTGGACTTCTTGGAAAGCTGAAATCGATCTTTGATATAATTTTCCAAGGCAAGTAAAATGCGAGACTCTTTTGATATTCAACACATAAACTGGAAAAACTTTTTGTGCATATTGTTTAAACTTTTAGTTATAAATTTAAAAGAGCTGTAATTGAATTTTGTTTGCTGTAATGTTTCGGAAGTGTTTTCCTGAGGGAAATAGCTGCATTAGAACTGCATATGAAAACGGATAATAGTGTTTATGAAGAGCATTTGTGATTAAGTATTATCAAAATTAATAATTTGATTTTACCTGTTTCAGATTTGTTTTTTAAGTGTTTAAATCTGCCTTACAAATTACAAATGTTTAATTTCAAGCTCCAAACCAGTTGTCCACTTCCACTGGTAAGTTCTTGAAATATGCACTACTTGAAGCCCAAGCAATAAAATCTAAAATTTAGTCTTATAAGATATTTGTGAAAATTAAAATTTAGTGTGTACGTGACTACAGAAATCAGTTCTCTCTTAGTAATTCTGCGAAATGGTATTTGAGCTTTTGAAACTTGCTAAAGCCCACAAACTGCCCTCCATCTTTGGTCGAGCATTTGCTCCGCTTATTAGTGCTTAGTTGTTTAAGCCAATGGACGTGTGAAAGATTCATAGTGGCTTTGTTTCAGCAGCGCCGTCATGCCCGCGGCCATTCTGCGGCTGACCAGAAGCTGGGGAAGAGCGACGTGGGGGCCGCTTAAGCGATGAGCCGGTGGCCGAGTCGCTCATGGACCTCCCCACGACGGTGCAGGTGTATTTCAGCGTGGGGCAGCGCCACGAGGCAGCGCTTTTCCGCTCCGACTCGCCCGCGGAACAGATTAAAGGTAACGAAAAGCCATTTTCGCTGTTATAATTAGAAAGTTTCGAAGCCTCCGGCATCGGCAATTTCTCAACATTGTTATTATTAATACGTGTGTAATTTACAAAGAACACGCCCTTTCAAGCGTTCTGTTTACCAGATTCAATGCGGCTTTTACAAGATTTTCCTGCTGAGCAACACGCGCGGCTCATTTATTATTCAGCAGGGACCAAAAAAAAATCTTCGATTCATCTTTAGCTTGCAGGTTTTAATCTTCTTTTTTAGGCCTTTTATATTCGGTTATTTCAGGAAATTATCCTCATAAACGGAAAGTTTGATTAATGAAAACGGGAGGACGAGGTCGCAGGAAAAGTCATCAAGTAGGGACTTTAACCAATTTAGGTATTTTATGATAGACAAAACTCGTAAACACTCACTTTTACAATCCTTTGATTTTATTGTTGTGCGATTTTACCAAAGCAATTTTGATCCTTAGTAATTAGACTTTTTGTCTAAAGTATTTAATTTTTTTAAATTTTAGTTAAAATAATAAAGATACTATTTTAAAAAACGAAAACCCAAAACAATCATAAGTGAGAACGTAAGTATTTAAATATGGGTGTCCAGCAATCGAGGAGGGGGTTTAAAAAGTGGTAGTTTTGATACTTGCATCATTGCAAGTGCATCTCTACAGAATATTTTTTTCTATAGGTATACCACACTTTTTCTATATACCACATATGAATTTAAAGTATAGAACAAAGCATTTTTTTTAAGTAATAATTAATATAAATTAAAGTATCTACTATAAAAAATCTGATCGTATTTTGAGAACGAATTTTTGTTTTGTTTTTGAGTTATGCGATTTTATTTATCAAAATTGCAATGTAAAATTTTTTTTTTCAAAAAATTTAAAATAAAGTTGATAGTTGTAATCCTTAGATCATAACCTCCAGGAGAAAAATGGTTTTTCTAGTGGGTTGCCATTTAAAAAAATTAAAAAATTTTGTAACTTGAAATCAAAAGAAAATTCCGAAAAATTTTATTCTTCTTAAAACCTCACATTTTTATACTACTTTATCATTCATAAATTATTTTTTCCAAAAAATAAATAGTTAAGCAAAAAACGTTTCATTCCATACTTTTTATTCACTTGGTATATTTATTTTCATTAAAATTTTTACCCTTAAGATTATTTACATCAGTAGCACTACACGCTTTTTTGAGCAAAATTAAATACAAAGTTCATAAGAGTTAAAATTTTGACAACATTTCAACATTAGAACTATAGATTTTTTAACAAAAATTTTAGAGAGAAAAACAAAAACAAAATTGTGGTTATGGAGATAAGGTGCTAACAGTTTTCTTACTAATATTTAGACTTGGTAATTTTCTTTAAAAAACAGCCTTTAAGTTGAATTTATTATTATATTTATTTATTATAATATTTTCCCATTTTTCTGTACTCTATGTATTTGTAATATTTTTAGAATTATGTATATTTAAAAAATCAAGACCAGTTAGTTTATTATAAATACTACCTTCCTAATATGCATATTTGTTCTTAATTGTAATCTTGAATTAATTTTTGTGATATTCATGTGTAAATAAGTGATCTAAATATTTCATGTATTAATATTTGTTGCATTAAATTTCAAAACTGTTGATGTTAGTTTAAAAATTTATCGAAATCATAATCTTAGAAGTAAAATTATGACATTTTTTTAATAATATTTAATAAGATTCCGCTTCTCTTGTTACCTCTCTTAAATAACTTTTGGCTGAAGAAAAATATTATGTAAAAACTTAATTAAAACATCCTGCAAAAATCTTCGATTGGATTTGACTAAAACACAAGGATTGATATAGAATGAAAGTTATGAAGATTTTTATAATGACTTTCTCCTTAAAGTTCTTCCAATGTTCGAACAAGAACAAGAGGAATTGGAATTATTATTTAGTAGAAAAATCATATTAACGATAACTCAAAGAAATTGAAATTACGAGTTATTCGGTCCTACTATTAGAAATGTTGTGTGGTTGTATGCAGCAAGAATATTGAATAGGGGGTTGAAATGTAAGTAAAATCGTATCCTTATTCGTTTCAAATTCAATATGTTTGTGCACCATCCGGGAAATAAACTAAAATCTCTTAGTTATTCGTAGCATCCCCTATTTCATCGAGATAATATAAAATATATACAGTTTCCCATTACGTATTGATTTGAAAATATGTATTATTTAGCCATTGGCTAATTCCAGTTTAAACCCTTAATTACCGGTAGCGTTAATTTTACGAGACCTATACTTACACTTACTATAATTTTGGAAATAAATTAAATTATCACTATGTATACCACTACGAGATAATAATAACATGAAGTCTACCCTTTGGACATGCCATGTTATTATGATTTGAGTAACGTATACCTATATTCAAATGGTTGTTACGGTTTCAGCGAAATAACGATTGCTTGTCAATTAAAACAAAGCTTAGGCGAGGCTTTATGCAAGTACTTTGAATGAATATAAATAAGCCTGTCAACTGGTGCGAGATTTTGTTGCAGTTTGTTTTAATTCGATCAAAATTAGCACATCATGTTGGTAAAATCCAGGGACTTCGGAAAATGTTGACACGTGCTGAAAGGCCAAGATTATCGAATAAATTATCCGAACGAACTCATCAGAATTTCAATAGGGTGATTGTTGGCAGACTAGTATAGTGATGTCGAGGCAGAACGATTGTATATTTGCCATTTTTTATTTAATCGAGCGACTTGGAGAAGAGCATGACCGAGCGAGATGGTGTTATAAGAAACATCTGGTGAGCTCTAGCAAGTTGTCACTGCCAGTTGGTGCTGATTTTCGTAGGAAATGTATAACGCAGACTGTATTGTCGTCAAGTATGAATTTATTTCATTTATGATTGAACATTCTGAAAGTTAGATAACACCTAATGATATACAAATACGTTAATACCTAAGTGTTCTCATGAAAATAAAAACTTGAAATTATGAAATTTTCAAGAATTGTAAAACTTTAGTATTTTTTAAATGGATATTGTTTTTATAATATCCGACATAGCACAGAGAGTAATCGGTTATTTTCTATCTCACGCTGTCTCATACAAATTAGTATTATTATATCGATGTCTAACAGCAGTCAATTTCTTAAATTTTTACAGAATTTGTAGGGATTATATAGGTATTATATGTAATAAAATAATAATAATAATAAAGCCTAATTTAATGGTAGTGATAATAACCCTTTAAAGTGACGTTCTCACCAAACTGTAAAAGACGGGCTACTCAAGAGCTTTATTATTTATATCACAATTGGTTTAGAAAGTGGGACTAAGATGATGAAGGACAGATTCTGAGTGTAGATGCTTGTAGAGATTAATTAAATTTTGGGTTATACGAGTACGTCTACAATGAAGCTTGGGTCGATATTAAAAACATTTAAGGTATATTCTTACAAAAATTTTGTCATTTCTTCCATAATAAATAAAAATAAATTTGTGATTGAAAGCAATTTTATCCTTATTGATTTTTTCTAAATGTCAAGATCAAATCACTGTTGCAAAAATAAAACTTAATGCCGTTTCAGGATTAATTATGTCGTTCATAAAACCGTTTTATAGTCCAAAAAGATAGATGCATCAGATGAAACAATAAAGTTTAAATGTCCTAAATCATTTTAGTTTAGAAATTAAATCGATTACAATTCTAAAATGTGGTGTGATTTGTACAGAGAGCAATTTTATTACATAGTAGTTGCAAAATTCAATTGCGTTAATTATCAAAGTTAAAATTTTCGTGAGGAATTTTTCTCTTTGATTGATTTTCTACCACATTACTCTTGAAAGGTTGTTGCTTCAACGAGATAAATTAAACGAAACAGGGCAAAAACCGGGGAAAAAACCTAAATATCTCTCGAAGTAGCCATATTCAATACAGCCCCAATTTATTTTTTGATGAAGAATCACAATGCCCTCGCAATATCATTACCTGTCTACTATATGTAGCACAGAATAAGTTCCTAAAAATAGGGTTATTACGTCGTGTGTCAGCCTTGACCGATGCTCTTGGAATATATCACTCCGGAAATGAAAAGTTCGACGTGCAATTTCTTGTAGAAGCACTGTATTATTTCAACCTCTTGCTCTCTTTCTAGCCCTAAACTTTGAACTCTTGTTAGAGTAACACCCATCTAAGGATTAGCTCGTGAAACTTGAAAGGGTTGTGCTGATCGAATCCTGTCAAGATAGTTGCAAAGTTTCAGTTATTGAATGAAAAAAATCTGCTGGTCGTCTTGCAACCCAATCCTGTGTTAAATGACGGCTCAAATCTGCCGTAACCTCGACAATGGCCAAAGCTTGCACAAAATCTCGACGAAATACTTCAACACAGAGCGGAGACAGCAAGAATCCCCCTGAAAGGGTTCATTCGACCGTCACGACAAAGCTCAAAAGCCGTTTGACGATGTATCGTCCTTACTCACACATTGATGTGGGGATCAGGGTTAGAATGAAACGTCAATAATTTTGTGATTAACAACAGGAGGTTAGCAAAAAGCGGGTAATTTTTGCCATACGAAGCCATATATATGTAAAGCTGGCTGGAAATTAATGAACAGAATTGCGAAGCTATGCTCCTAAAACAAAACATTGTAAATTGGATGGTTTTAACACGTTGAAGCTTTGTGCACAGACATGTTTATTTCTCGCTTTTGTACCTCGGATTTTATTTTCATATTTTAATTTCGCTATTTTTATCATGTTTTCATCAACTTCAAAATTGACTTGACTCATTATTCAAATTTCATCAAAAAGAAATTTTTGTGTAGATTTTGACAATCTTTCGTACAGGAATATTTTTCATCGGTGTTCCAAATTAGAAATTAATTAATCATCGTTTATCAGCACGAATTCTATCGGTAATCGGGTAATCTGATTATTTCATTAGCTGACTTCAGAAGTGATTAATTACAACAACCGCTGATACTACCTTCAACATCAGCTAG